CACGCACACGCACACGCACACACACACACACACACACACACGCACACACACACACACACACGCACACACACGCACACACACACACACACACGCACACACGCACACGCACACACACACACACCCACACACACACACGCACACGATTAGGCACCAATCCCAGGATGCCCCACATGTTTCCACACTCTCTGGGCTCCCCCCCCCTCCATTGTCCACATGCCCGCACCTGTTCCCAGGAATCGACGATGACGTGTGTCTGTCCCATATGTTTCCACATATTCAGGGCTACCCCCTCCATTGTCCACATGCCCCCACCTGTTCCCAGGAATCGACGATGACATGTGCCTGTGTGTCTCTTCCCCGCCTGATTGGCCCCTTCCCCAGGACCGGCGTCGGGAGGGCCCAGGGACACACACACACACACATAAACAGGCACAAATCCCAGGATGCCCCACATGTTTCCGCGTTTTCTGGGCTCCCTCCCACTTTCCACACGCTCCCACAGGTTTATCCTCGTCAAAACTAACCTCAATAATGGCGACCACGCCCCTGCGATGCCGGCGCGCCCTTCAATGTCGATAGGCGCCCCTCCCATGTCTGGACCAGGGCAAAAACGGTCTGACTGGGAACGACTCGGAAGTTCGATGATGACCGACATTGGAGCGGCGGCGCATGCAAGCACCTCGCAGTCACCGCTACTCTGTCCAGTATCTCCCCACAAACAGTTCAGCCACGTAAGACATGTTTGAGGTTCATTTTGACGAGAGTTGTAGGGATCGACGATTAACTGTGTCTGTGTGTTTCTTCCCCTCCTGATTAGCCCCTTCCCCAGGACCGGCGTAGGGGGGGGCCCCTGACCCAAGACCCGCGTGGATTTGACGCCGCGCCCCCTTCCGACGGCCCCTGGGCCCGGCCAGAGCCCACAGGGCATTCGAACAAGCGAGGAAGCAGGGATGCCCACCTCCCCCTCCCTTTCCTTCCTCCCTCCCTCTCCTCCTCGCCCTCCTTCTCCTCCTCCTCCTCCTCCTCTCCTCCTCCTCCTCCTCCTCCCCCCTCCTCCTCCTCCTCCCTCCTCCTTCCTCCTCCTCGCCCTCCTCCTTCTCCTGACCCTCCTCCCCTCCTCCTCCTCCTCCTCCACCACCTCCTCCTCCACTTCCTCCTCCTCCTCCTCCCTCATCATCATCATCATCATCATCAGCATCAGCATCATCATCACCATCATCACCATCATCACATCATCATCATCATCATCATCATCATCCTCATCATCATCATCATCAGCATCATCATCATCATCATCAGCATCATCATCTCCTCCTCCTCCTCCTCTCCTCCTCCTCATCATCATCATCATCATCATCATCATCATCATCATCATCATCCTCCTCCTCATCCTCCTCCTCCTCTCCTCCTCCTCCTCCTCCTCCTCCTCTCCTCCCCTCCTCCTCCTCCTCCTCCTCCTCCTCCTCCCTCCTCCCTCCTCCTCCTCCTCCTCCTCCTCCTCCGCCTCCTCCTCCTCCTCCTCCTCCTCCTCCTCCTCCTCCTCCTCCTCCTCCTCCTCCTCCTCCTCCTCCTCCTCCTCCTCCTCTGGGAGGAAAATAGAACGGCGTAAAACAAAAACTGTCGACGGTCCGCCCAGACTTCGTGGCTCTGCGCCAGACCCCCTGCAAGGCGCGCGGAGCGCCCAAGGGGCGGCGCCAGAGGCGCCGCCAGGGGGGCCCAGCGCAGATCCAAGAAATCTGCGCCGACCGTCGAACGTTGATGTGTTGCAGTTTTTTCTTTCGGCGGTGGACAAGCCTCCCTTCAAAATTAGGAAAACCACACTTTAATGAGAACGGCCTAGGACCGAAACCGACGGACCCTGACCCGCAAAAATGGCGGCCGCGACGCCCTCTCGCGAACCGAAAACGGCCAACTCGCTAATTGACGCGGCAGGGTAGGAGGTCGATCACCCCCCGATTTGTATTGTTTCATCCTCCGCCCCGGGGGGCCCGAAAAAACGAGCGCTGGAGGCCGACACCGAGGAGGGACGCCAGGGCCAGGCCCGAATCCTGCGCACGGCACGCGCGCGGGCACGCTCTCAGGCGCGCCGGAGCGACGAGCGGGGGCGCGCGCGCGGGAGGAGGAGGAGGAGGAGGAGGAGGAGGAAGGGGGAGGAAAGGAGGAGGAAAGGAGGAGGAGGAGGAGAAGGAGGAGGAGGAGGAGGAGGAGGAGGAGGAGGAGGAGGACCCCCGCGGGAGGCCATGGCGCTGCGATGCTCTCACGCCGGGTGAGCTCGCCCGATGTGCGGGGCCCCAGGGGCCCTCGCAGGTGGCGGTGCGGCTCGAGAAGTCCCAGAGGTCCGGGCCTGGGGCAAAAGCTGGAGCGGCGGGTTTTGGCCGTTTTCGGCTCCGGGGGCCCTCGCCGGGTCTCGGGACCGTCAGGAAACGACCCGGGACCAAAAACCTGCCCTGGGGAGGTGGTCCAGACCTCCAGGGCGCACACGCGAAAAAAATGGAGCGGCCGGATGTCTGGGTCAAGACGTGCCGCGGTCTTAGGTTCCGGGCCTGGCTTCCCAGACATGACGTGCGATGTCTTTTCTGTTCCAGCACGCTGTCCCTGGAAGTCTCGGCCAAGTCCCCTGGACCAGTTTTCGTCCCGGGTCGATGTCTGACGGCCCCGGGGCTATGTAAGAGATCCCCTAGGCCGAAAATTGTCCCCCCAGAAAAAAACGGCCTGAGGTCTGTTTTGATTTAATAGCCAAACAAATGTTCAAACATACTCGACGCATCGTCCCCAGACTATGTACTGACTGTTTTTGAATATCCCTCCTGTAGAGGGACATGCCCGATTGAATGCAACGTGTTCAGGACGTCGGGCCTCAGGCAGGGTCAAAAGTTCCTGGCCTCGCCGCCCAGCGTCGTGCGTGCATATCCCGCCTCCTGGCGCCTCGGAGAGGTCTCACTTGGGTCAGTCGGGGGTGTCCCTCTACAGAGGGAATAATTCAAAATAGTCATCAAAAAAAAACATATGGGGAAGATCTTGAGATTGGTTGTGGCTATGTTTGAATATGTTTTGGCCAGTTTTGATCCTTCTCCCCAAATCCGTCTGTAGAGGACATGCCCGACCTATCGCTTCGGGGGCTGGGGTTAGGTCGGGCGTGTTCCCCTACAGGCGGATTTTGGACGAAAAATAAAAGATGGTCAAACAAATGTTCCAAAATACTCCAAAAATCGTCCCTGGACTATGTTTGACAACTCTATATCATCCCTCCTGTAGAAGCACATGCCCGACTTAAGGCTGGGGTCACCTCGAGGAGCCTCCCCCGATGGTCACAATCGAAGACCTCCATCGGCGAAGTCCCAGCTGTGCCGTCGAGGTCCTTGAGGGCCTCCGTGGGGGCATCGGGGACCTCCCCGAGGGAGGCCTTCCGGGACCCTGGAGGCCTCCATCGGGAGGTCCCCGATAATCGAAAACCTACAATCTCTGAGATCTGGCAGCTCCAGGGGATGTCTCGGGCGCCGCGGCCTTCTGAGAGCGTTCCGGAACGCTCTGAGAGCGTTCCCGAACGCTCTGAAACGGACTTATCCTCGTCCCAGTCCCGTCCGAAACCTATTCAAAAACACGCCGAGCATCTCCTGAGCACTTGAGGATAATGATGAAGACGAAGACGAAGACGAAGACGAAGACGAAGACGAAGATGAAGATGAAGATGAAGATGAAGATGAAGATGAAGATGATGATGATGATGATGATGATGATGATGATGATGATTATGATGATGATGATGATGATGATGATGATGATGGTGGTGATGATGCTGATGATGATGGTGATGATGATGATGGTGATAGTGATGGTGATGGTGATGGTGATGATGATGACGACGATGGGGTGATGATGATGGTGATGATGACAGGAGTACGATGATGCTGATGCTGGTGCTAATGCTGATGTTGGTGCTGATGATGATAATGCTGATTATGATAGTGATAATGGTGATGATGATGATGATGATGGTGATAATGATGATAATGATGATGCTGATGATGATGATGATGACGATGATGATGATGATGGACGCACTGCTCTTGCTGAAGCGGTGATGCTGAGAGTGACACGTTCCCCGGCGCGCCGGCGGAGGGCACGTGCCCCACGCGGGGGGCCGGACGCCGAGTCACCGAACTCCGCGAGATAGCGGCATCCGAGCCCAACCCTCACCGACCGTCGATGCCCCTGAGTCGATTGGTGGGCTTTTACTCCACAGCCACCACCACAGGCAGGAGGGGCAGGGGGTCCTCCTCCTCCTCCTCCTCCTCCTCCTCCTCCTCCTCCTCCTCCTCTTCCTCGTCATCATCATCATCATCATCATCATCATCATCATCATCATCATCATCATCATCATCATCGTCATCATCGTCATCATCATCATCATCATCTTCATCATCATCATCATCGTCAGCATCATCATCATCATCACCATCATCATCATCATCATCATCATCATCATCATCATCATCATCATCATCATCATCATCATCATCATCATCATCATCATCCTTTTCCTCCCCCGCCTCGTCCTCCTCCTTCGCATCCTCCTCCTCCTCCTTCAACACCTCCTCCTCATCTTCCTCCGCTTCCTCCTCCTCCTCCGTTTCCGCTTCCTCCTCCTCCTCCTCCTCCTCCTCCTCCTCCTCCTCCTCCTCCTCCTCCTCCATCCTCCTCATCCTCCACCTCCTCCCCCCCTCCCTGAATCGATGGGAAGCGGGGAGGGGGGGGGGTCGGATTCCACCGTGTTCAACGGGGTCTCCGAACCCTACCCGCACCGCCCATCGAGTTGCCCGAAGCGCGGAGGAGGAGGAGGAGGAGGAGGAGGAGGAGGAGGAGGAGGAGGAGGAGGAGGAGAAGGACGCGGAGGAGGCGGAGGAGGAAGAAGCGGAGGGGAGGAGGAGGAGGAGAGGGAGGAGGAGGAGGAAGTGGAGGAGGAGGAGGAGGAGAGGGTGCGGTTCGGATTCCGCCGTGTTCGACGGGGTCCTCGAGCCCTACCTGCACAGCCCAGCGAGTTTTGCCCGAAGCGCGGAGATCGGCGAGGGTCGGGTTCGGAGAGGCCGCCGCTAGCGAGGGCACCTTCCCTTTTCACCGGGGGTGGCGGTGTGCGATGGCGAAAGAGAGCGGCAGGGCAGCACAGGGAACACAGGAGGAGGAGGAGGAGGAGGAGGAGGAGGAGGAGGAGGAGGGGGAGGAGGAGGAGGAGGAGGAGCGAGCGTCCCTGGGGGCAAAATCCTTCTCGCCCGCTACGCGTTCGACCGCGCGCCCTCTGGAGCACTCAAGGGCACGGCATCGCGGTCGACGGCAGAAGTGGCGACGCCGTCGGCGTCGGCAAGCGCAACCTGCGACACGGGGTCGAGGGGCGCGCGGTCGGGGAAGGCGCCCTCGACGACCCCGGAAGCGACGAGGGCAGGAACATCAGCATTATGAGAATGAGCCCCAGCAGGGGGCGAGGCGGCATCGATCACCTGGGCGCTGAAGGTGGGGTCGCCATCGTCCTCCGAGTCGCACTGCATCGCATTCTCGTCCGCACATGTTTCGAGAAATTCCGGCTCATCATCGCGATGCTCCTGAACGCCAGGCTCAGGGAGAAGTTCCAGCTCAGCATCTGCTGGTAGCTCTTCGCCTGCTTCCAGGAGGCTGCCAGGGTTGTTCAGCATCCACTGAACCAGCTCCCTCTTGTCCGCGAAACTATCGGGGCACAGGTCGTCCACGGCACGACGAGCATGCTCGAGCTGCTGTACATAAAACGCATCAGGATGGGCAGGAGCCGTCGTTGCGCAGTCGTCGCGAGGCTCGCTGACGATGAGGCGACCGACGCTGTTGCTGAAGACGGACGCGGTCCAATACATTGAGCGAGAGCCTCGAGCGCAAGTTGTAGAGCAAGCGTGCTTGACGGCAGAAGCCCAAACGTGTTGAAGCCAATGGCAGCGCACGACCCCCTTGGCCCAGTGCCAGCAGCCAGGGGGCCCAACTCACACCCTTGTCCTTCAGCGCGCGCACCAGGATGTTCGGGTTCGGCAGGCTGCAGACCAGGAAGGTCGCGAGCAGCATCATGAGGAAGTTCGGCCTCTGAGTCATCAACCTCGGAAAGCAATGCTGGCTGCGATGCGGGCACGAATGTCGAGTAGAGCGGCGGCGCGGCCATGTCAGGAGGCGTCGCAGTGCCCCAAACATCAGACCAATCAACATCAAGATCGCAGTCCTCCCTCTCGTCGACGTGGTCGTGCAGCCCAGGGCACCGTTCTCTTCGCGGGGACGTGCCCACTGGAATGGCAGCGGGCAGCGCAGTCGCGGACGACGACGCAGCAGGGCTCATCCAAGCAAGAGCACAGGCGTCAGCCCCAGGCGGCGGCGGCCCAGACGAGCTCGCAGCAGGCCAAGAGGGCAAGGTGCCTGAGGACGCGGGCGGTTGCACATGCCAGGTCGCGGGCGGCCCCGGACGCGAAGCGAAGCTGAACTCAAACTTGTCGATCTCGGATCGGTCCGGATCGAATCGGGATCGGGAGGCATCGCTCTTTTACCTCCCAGGCGCCCTGGCTCAAGGGCCCTAAACGGCAGCGGAGTGCACAAGAATGGATGGATGGGGGACCAGGAGAGACAAGGCAAGAAGAGAAGAAGAAGAGGCAACTAAATGGTGAAAGCTGGACGGTTGACAACCTCACCATTTTTTCTTTTAGTTGCTGTACAAAAGAGAAAAGGCAGCTAGAAAAAGGAAGCTCAGTTCAGCAAGTGGCAGTCTTCTTTGCATCAGCTTTGGCTCTCTTCTTGGCCTTCCGGTTGTCAGAGCGCTTCCTGCGTCTGGCCGGGTCCAGGGGCTTGCGCTTCAAGTTCCTGTCAGTGGACAGTCTCAGTTTCGGGCAGTCTGTGGTCTTCGTGAAAACGCCATGCCAGTCCATTGCCTCCCTGTCGGAGGCTGCTTGGGCAGCGCGATTATCTTCGGGCTTGCTCGGGGTGCTCCCCTTGTCATTTCCGTCGCAACTGAGAGTCTCCGCGTCACTGTCGAAGCTTGGAGATGGAGACAGATCGACCCTTGAGGGGCCTGTCTTTGCCTCTCCCGCCGGAGCCCGACTAGAAGAAGGATGGGGCTACCTCGGCACGCGAACCGGGTGAGCTGGAAGCACGGTCTGGGGCCAGAGCTCTCTCCTGCATGGCCCTCTCTGCGTCCTCCAGCCTGATCTGGGCACGTTGTCTCTTGGCTTTCTCGCGGTCCCGCAGCAGGCGAGAAGACATCCAGTGTCCGCAGAGATCCACATCTCGCCGGTACAAGACGACAAGACGTTATGGTGCTTCTCCTTCCGAGGCGCGCCAGCTTCCCGAAGCTGCTTGTCCTGCGCGAGCTTGTCTGTCAAGATATTGTCCTTCTGCTGCGCGTGCACCTGCTGCCTCGGGAGGCTCGCCGCCCTCTCCGCCTGCTCGGGACGTTCGAGGTCTTGGTGGCCCTGCATCCAGCGAAGCGCAGGCACTTCGGCGCGAAAGCTCCGGAGGATCTCTGTGACCAAATGGCGTTCGATCGCATTGAGCCTGCGGGCCGGCACAGCGGCCAGCTGCTGCTCTACCGGCGGCGTCGGCACTGTAGGTTGCGGCCGGCGCGGTGGAGGTGCCAGAGCAGATGCCTTGCTCGTGGTCCCTGGTGCCGTACTTGGCCGGGGCCGAGCACCAATGGCAGCGGTAGCAACCATAGCGAACTCCAGCTTTCCGCCGGCCGGGAGGCCACAGCACGGCGGTCCGCCTTGAGCCGCAACTGGCTGCGACAGGTAGCACGAAGCAGCGCTTGTCGGTCTCGCACCCGAACGCAGATCGATCGAACATGCCCTGATAGGGTCAAGGATTTTCGATGGATTGCTGTTTGGCTTGGTAAGCGGGTCAGCGACCACGCTGGCATCAGGGGCCCAGGACAAATCACTCGGAAGAACTTTGCTGTTTACTGTTCTCTGCCAACCAACACAAGCCTCCCTGATACGACTCAGGGATGGAGTCAAGTCTTCTTCCGTGATGTGTGGTGTGGTGGAGTACGTATTCGTGACATGAGACCACGAACCAGTCAAGAGGAGTCCGGCGGGTGGCTGTTCTAGATTCGATGCCTCTTGAATCCTCCTCCGCGTCGCGCACTGTACATCAAGGGCGCTTTCGGCAGCAAGGCTTTCAGTGGCCATGGTGGAGCTAACCGCCCTCGTTTGCTTCTTGGAAGCCCAACGATAAAGATAAGCACGCACAATCGGGCAAGAACCCTCTGGGATCGCTTCGCCGATGAAGGTGGTCATGCCTCGCTGCGGCGGCTTGCCCTTGGACGAGTCGCCGTGCGTGTACACGCAGATTTTGGACGGATCCATGGGCCCAAAATACAGAACCACATCCTCCCCCATAAGTACTCTAGCGTTCTTGTTGGCCTCAAGGAGGGTGGACACTGTTGCAGACTGTACCTTGGACGCAGTGGAACTACAAGCAAAAGCGCCGTGGGGGCAGGTCTGATCTGCACACCAGATCTGTTCGCCGAGAGCAGCTCGTAGTGCGGCGCGTTCCGGCTCTGTCACAGGAGCGTTGGGCTGACGAGCCCGGTGGGGCGGAACGGATATCAGCGTCAGGGAACGACAGTACTCCCTCTGATCCAAAGATATCCAGGGAAGCTTCACAGAAACGTGCAAACCGCAGAACGTAAAGTCGTCTTTCTGCTGGGAGCCCCACTAGAGGGGTAGCGAATCGATCACATCCCAAAACTTCCTTCTCCTGCCAACAACGCGTCGTCGACATGAAGCCCTGCGAAACCTGTGAGACGGCCGTCTTCAAAGTGAAGAAACACGCACGGGCCCCAAATTGACTGTTGGAATTCACGCTCGAGGAGGAGACGGCGCACGTGGAAGAACCACGCACGCGGTGCTCGGCGGAGACCGTACAACGTCTTCCCCTTGCGCAACCCCCATACGAATCCGGACCGGATTGGTACGCTTCTGGGTGGCACAACGAAGACGGGAGAACTGTCGTAGTGCGGATCGGCGTCAGTCTCGGCTTGCAGGAACGCGTTTCGGACGTCCCACGCTTCTGGCGCCCATCTGTGCAAGGCAGCCAGCCACAACAGAAATCTGACAGAATTTCTGTTGAGTGCAGGGGAATCGACGACGTGATGTTCAGCACCTGGTTCGAAACAGCCCTGCACCACCAAACGTGCTTTAGCCTCTCCTTCTTTGGCCGTGCACACAAACCTGGAGGGAACGGCGGTGGTCCCAGGTGGCAGGCGTACTTCGTCGAAGTTTTCTGAAACGGCGTTCAGCTCCTTCAGACGTGGTGTTTCGAAAGCAGGGTCTGATTCAGCGATTCGAGAAGGAATCTCTTTCGCTTTCATGGTCTTGGCTGCCACGAGAGCGTCCAGGACGGACTCGCCTACGACGGCGGCGTCTGCCGGGCAAGAGCGGCAAACCTCGTGCACGGCAGCGTAACCACGCCACTGTTCAGGCACAGTGAAGAATGTGTCGTCTAAGTCGTTCTGGGCCGACGCCAACAGCTCGTCGTCTGAATTTGGAAGCATTGGCGACTTGTGTGCGGGCTGGTCGTCTGTGACGTCTTGGGACGCTCCTCGCTTAGCTCCTGCTCGCCTCTCTGCTGATGGGGACGAAGCTCCTGTTGTTCCTATCGCTCCTTTTCCTAATCCTCCTCCTTCTCCTCCTTTGCCATTGCCTGCTCCTCCTGCTCCTGGTGCAGATTTGGTCCTGTGTCTGCGTAGAGGCTCGGAAGGAGTTTGTGCCGGGGGCGGCGCGGAAGCGGCGCCAGAGGCAGGCGCGGGCTGCCGTGGAAACGCCGGAGGCGCGAAGGGAGGCGGCGGCGGCACGCCCGGAGGCGCTGGAACCCCATTTCCCGCGGCCGGGAAGCCCAAGCTCGCAGGTCCTGGAAAACCAGCAGGGGCCGGACGGGCTGCGGCAGCAGGAGGAAGGCGCGGAGGTGGAGCCTGAAGCGGAGGTGTTGGCGCAGAATCGTCGTCCTGCGGCTCTTCCTTCACTCGTGGTGCCGTTGGTGCAGTGCTGCTTTTCTGCTTTGTTCCAGGTGGTTGCTGCGCTCCTGGTAGTTGTGGTCCGGCCCGCACTCGTAGCTCCAGGAGCCCTCTGTTCTCTTTCGGTCGTACCCGGTGCCTGTGGACAGCTATGGCTTTGCCATCCGCGGTCCTCAGCCAAACTTTCTGGTTTCCTTCCATGCCGAGCACTACAGCAGGACCCTTCCAGGCGGTTCCGGCCGTTTTGGCCTTCGGTGCGTCGTCCGCGATGTAATCGACCTCAGTCCCAGAGTCAAGAGGGCCTGTTGCGCCCGCAAGACGGGAGTTGAACAGATCACGAAGCTCGGAACACGTTTGGATCTGCACGGCGACGGCCTGAGCAGCACGACGGAGAGACAACCTAGCCTGGGCGTGGGTAGCGACGTCTGGCCTGAGCGCTTGTACTTGTGGCGGTTCACACTCATCGATCTGGTCGAAGAAGCGGTTGTTTCCGAGAGCGAGAAACTGCGCGGAAAAGCCACATATACGAACGAGGCTGTTTTTGGCAGCACATGCCTGGAGCATGATGTCCGTCGGCGTGAGAGTGCCATTGCTCAACTCGGTTTTGAAGCTTTCGGCGAGCTTGTAGAAAACCATGTTGAGCACTCCGTTGTGGCGCTCTACTAGACCAGCAGAGGCGGGAGTACGAGGAGGAATCCAAAAATGCCTCGTGCCGCGGTGCATCAAGAAAGTTTCCACCTCCTTGTTCTGGCACTCACCGCCGTTGTCCGTGAGAACACTACGTGGGAGACAGCCGTAGACCGATTGCCACCTGGAGAGGGTAGCAAGTGTTCGCAGAGGTTCACGGGTGGACGTAAACTCCGCGAGCGACCAATTTGAGAAGGAATCGGCCATGTGATGGAAGATGCACTTGCTACCGCATACGGACACTTCGAAGGAGTCGACGCACACAAGGTCGTTTACGTTTCTCGCAGACATGCCAGAAGTCTTTGGGTGAGCGTGTGGTTTCTGGAATTTGTCGCAGAGCTTGCAACACCTTGTGACTTTCTCAGCAAGCTTTCTGACCTGCGGTACTGTCTCAGGAAGCAGAGCCGAAGTGATGCGTCGCATCAGCTGGTCGGCGGTCGGGTGCGCCAACTTGTCGCGCATCCTCTTGAGGCCGGATTCCGTCTGGAGTTCAGCACGGAGCTGCTCCAGCCTCGGCGGAAGTGAGACGGTGAAGGCTCTCGGGTGTTCCTGGACAGTCACTGTTTCGAAGGCGGTTGCATCACTCAGAGGCGCAAAATCGCAGTCAGGTGCCTCTGTTGCAGCAGCGGCAACACCACTGAACAACATGAGAGGGAACAGGTAGTGCCCCGCACTCGAAGTTTTCAGTTGGACAGTGGTGCCTGTGGTTTTCGAATACATGGTGTCCTGTTCGAAGTCGATGACAGCCTTCAGATTCTTGAGCTGCGGCTTCCCCAACAAGAAAGGCGTCGCCTTTGCCTTCTCGGGGCCGGTGTTCAGCACTTCGAACCCCGTGGTGGCATCCAGGTGTTGGACAGGGACGGTTGCAACGGCTTCTGCCGTTTTCGGGTCGCCTCCGGCGACCGGTACTTCGTGCTCGACGGCCTTTCGCTCACGTAGAGCTCGGGGTACTCCTGCCGAAGCAGAGCCTTGAAGTTGTCCAACCGCTTTTTGCTGACCATGCCTTTGGAGCAACCGGAATCTATGATGGCCTCGTGGTCACCAATATCAGCGTGTATGCTATCTTCTACCACGGCCGCGGGCAAGGCGGCTGCTACTGCGTCAGAAGCACTCGTCGAAGCACCAGCTGCTAGGGAAGGCGGGCCCCGAGTGTCTGCGTCCATTTTGTCTTTCTCCGTGGTGTCGCGGCCGTCGTCGCTGTCGTCGTTGTCGTTGTTGTCGTAGTCAAAAGCGTCTTCGCCCTCGTCGTCGGAACCCCAGGTTCCGCGCGTCGCAGGGGCAGTGCCCATGCACCAGCATGGTTCGCAGAGGTTCATGTCCACTGGGGTGCACGGCTCGCATGCGAAGAACGCGTCGCCGCACTCCGAATGGGACGTGCACTTGTACTGCGACATGACATTGCCACAACAGGAAAGCTGGACGAAGCGTCGCGGGCAACCCTCGCAGCGGGCAGCCACGCGCGGCACTACGGACGAGGCGCAAGCGCCATCCTTTCCACCGGCCGGGAAGCCCGAGCACGGCGGTCCAGAGGACGTTGCTTGGCTGCTGTCTTTTCCACCAGCCGGGAAGCCCAAGCACGGCGGTCCAAACGAAGGAGCAGCCGTGGACGACGACGCTGGTTGGCTGCTGTCTTTTCCACCGGCCGGGAAGCCCGAGCACGGCGGTCCAGACGCGGAGGCAGCCATGAACGACCACGCGAGGACTGCAGATGCATCTGGGTCCTGGTGTTGGGTGTAGTTCCAGTCCGTTCCGGCCCAGTCAGGGCTCTCGGACCAACCGCCAGTCCAGCTTTCCCACTCGTCGGCGGCAAAAGCGAATGACGATTTTCCTTTTCCTTGGCTCCTCCCTGCCTGGGATTTGCCTTTGCTTTTGCTGTGTTTGGTTTTGCTTGTTGTGGGCTTTGGCTGTCCGCTCGAGTAGCCCTTTGACCAGCTTCCTTTACCTTTTCCTGAAGGCGTCTTGCCTGTCTTACCTCGGTCAATGCCCTTGCCCTTACCTCTCGGTGGGTGTGGGCACTTGTCGACCCAGTGGCTTGGGCTGCCACACCGCAGACAACCTTTCTGGCCGTAGTTTGCGTCTTCTGTCCAACCGGCTTCCTGCCAGCCATGCTCGTTCCAGTCTTGGTCTAAGTCCTCTGACGGCCACTCTTCCCAGGCTTCGTAGCCTTGGTGTTCCGCCGTTTTGGCTAAAGGGTTGTCTCCAAGCACTTTGAGGATCGCACTCTTGGTCTTAGCTAAAGTCAGAGTTGCGTCCAAGTCGAGTATCGTCGACAAGTTGCTAAGCTGTTGCTGCGTAAGCTGTTGCTGCGTGAGCTGTGCGTTGGTAATCAAAATCAACGATTTGACGAAATCTTGCATAACTACGAACTTGTCCTGGTCTACTTCCTGTAGCAGGCGGAACGACTCGTTCACGTAGCCCTCTACTTTCTGACGACCGCGTTTCAATTCCAGCCAGGACGCGAAACGGATGATCTTTGCTACGTCGTCTTTTGTTCTGTTTTCCGTTTGCATGAACTCTATCAGGCAGTTGAAACCTAACTTTCCAGTTGTTCCGGTTTCCCCCACGGGGTCGCTACTAAGACGGGCCATGTCTAACAGTTCGGCTTGGTTTTTTAACGTGCTGTTTGCCGAAAAACCTCTGGACTTCACATGGGGACCAACAGTCGTTGCTTTCAGCTCGGCGCTCAGGTGCCATGCTTGCAGGTCTTCTTCATAGCTTTCCCAGCTTCGCGATGGACCGGCAATTGGGCAGGCTTTCACACCAGATCCTTCGAAGATGGCGGATGGCATGGCCGATGACGATCGCCCGATCTGGGATCCCCGCGCGCGCTAGTGTCCGTGGAGCCGTAGCTCCGCTACCAACTATGTCGATCTCGGATCGGTTCGGATCGAATCGGGATCGGGAGGCATCGCTCTTTTACCTCCCAGGCGCCCTGGCTCAAGGGCCCCAAACGGCAGCGGAATGCACAAGAATGGATGGATGGGGGACCAGGAGAGACAAGGCAAGAAGAGAAGAAGAAGAGGCAACTAAATGGTGAAAGCTGGACGGTTGACAAAACTCGTCATCCGACATCATGTCAACCTCACAAATGGCAGGCGGCGGCAGCGCTTGAACATTTCCGGCTTGCATTTCTTCCATGGTCGCCGAGTCAGAATCTGTCGGGAACGGGTAGTCGCCCGCATGCGTGCCAGGCTGCTGGTGCACCTCAGTCTCGTTGGGCGGGCAAGCGCCCTGTGACGAGTTCGGGTCCAGCTCCAGGTCGTCGACGGTGAAGCCTCGCGCGGCGACCCGGTTGGCGATCTGAGCGTTCGGCGCGGGGACCCTTATCATGTCTCTGCCCCGCATCTCAGAGCCACCGCGCCCTCCCCAAGACAAGAAGCGGTCGCGCAAGTCGATCGGCACGCGGGACGGATCGGGACGCCAGTTGAGCATGTCATAGCGCTGCTTGGAGAGCTTCACCAGCAGCTTCACGATCTCGCTCGTCGGAGCGGGCAGTGCGCCGAGCCGCTCTTGACGTAGACGCCCACGAGAGATAGCGCTGCCATAGTAGCCAGCCACGCAAATATCCTCCGCCTCGCGCCGACGAAGGCGCTCTCGCGAACCTCCCTTGTAGTCGATGACGCGGGCGAAGTGGTCAGCGAAGGGGGGGTAGAACAGCAAACCATAGACGTAGTCGACGCACCGGCCGAGCCACGCGGCGACGTTGTCCGCGCCGCGCTGGTAGCGCAGAGAGACGGAACGCAGCTGCCAGCCCACGCCATGGCGCGGTTGATCATCTCGCGCCGCATGTAATGAAAACGTCGCTCTAAGGACAGGCCACCACCAGGCACGCGCTGCCGTGGGCGAGCTCGCGACGAAAGGCCCCAAAGAGAGATATCCTGACCAGGACCCCCTCGGCGAAGGTGTTCCTTGTCTCCGGCGCCATACGCGCGAGCAGGGATCTCGAGCGCCGTCGCAACCAGAGGGCGAACAGCACCGCGAAGCTGTTCGCCATAGGCATCATCAGCAGCAGGAACAGAAGGTAGGCGGAGCAGGTCGCCGCCGGCCTCTGCCGCATTCTGAGGAGACGGTGGGCGGAGCAGGTCGCCACAGACCTCGGCCGCATTCAAAGGAGATGGAAGGCGGAGCAGGTCTCCACAGACCTCAGCCGCATTCAGCGAAGACGGTGGGCGGCGCAGGTCACCGGGGACCTCGGCCGATTTCAACCAGAAACGGAAGGCGGAGCGGATCGCTGTTGAGTGACCACAGCCGCATTCTGAGCAGACGCTCGGCGAAGCAGGTCGCCACAGACCTCAGCCGCATTCAAGCATGAAAGACCATGGAGAAGGCCGCCGCCAAGCACGGCAGCGCACGGGGCCGCCATGTCGTGGGCCGGCCGGACTTGAGCCTCAGAGAGCCTCGGCGAAGCAGACGTGCACATCATTGTCGCAGATAGTTGGGAGCTCAACTGCCGCGAAGCCTTCCCCCATCATCCTCCGCGCATCCCCCGCGTCGCTATCGCAAGAGAGAAGAGGGTCGAGCAAAGCGAAGGCCGCCCACGCAATCCTGATTTCGGGAAACGACGGAGTCGTACCAGGCGAGCTTCGGGGGGAAGAGGGCGACGAGCTGGGCGACGAGCTGGACGACGAAGCAGACGAGGAGCTCGACGGGGCAGAGGGCCCCTGAAATCGACGCACACCTCAAGCAGACGCCACAGGGGCCCTCGAAGGTGCTGTCGCCACAAGTTGAACAGTGCGAATGGCGGCTTTTACATGTGAGCGAGCGGTCTCTGGTGGCCAAATGTGCGCTGCGGAGCCATGGGCCGCACTAGCATAGGTGTAGTACATGACCACGACGTCAAATATGACGCGGTCGAGCTCGACGACGCTTCCAAACAGCCCGAGACGCCAAAGTGCAGTAGCTGGGCGCGTGCAGCCAAGTTCCTCTTCCACGAGCTGCCGAAAAGGTGCACAAATGAGGCAATGCCTAAGCGCGTCAAAGAGGTGCTTGCACCCAAAGCGGCATGCTAGACGACCATGTGGTTGCAGTATGCGATGCCAGGTAGCCCATCCATTGGCGACTGTCTTGATGTGGGCGAAAGCCCACGGCATAGAGCACTTCCGAAGATGACGAAGAATGCGACCCCATCGATGTGAGGGGACGCGCGAGTGACCGTTGGCATTCATCTCAGGGGATGCCCCGATGAGCCTGGCAACGCAGCAATTCCACAGCGGGCGTGGCGCCAAGCAGGTCTTGACCGCGGAGGCCAGAAGAGCGCGCGGGGCGAGATGACCACTCGCGAGCTGCCGCGCGAGCCGCTGTCCACCTTGATGCGGCATAGCCGGGGATGTCCGCCGGGGACTCGCCCCTCTGACCCATTGCCAGGGGTTCGACGAAAGCTTCTGACTTCCAGAAATGCGGACATGGGCGCGTCGACGATGTCGCCCAGTCGGTCACGTTGCCGAAAAAAGTCACTGATGTAGACGCTGAAACCCAGGAAGAATCGCATGTGCAATACGAGTAAGCACCCCATGATGAGGGCGAGCCAGGGCGGGACAGGGGGGCCACCCGCGCCACGAAGCTGAAGCCAGGCCGCGAGGTTAAACACGCCCAAAGGGACCCGAAAGGTCCTCGATAGCGCGACCCACTCTCCCCTGAGCAGCCACTGCGGCATCATCCTGAACTGGGCGACATAGGACTACACTGGTGTGCTCCTGGTGGTGTAATTGGCCGCTAGCCTGGAAACTGCCGCGGTGCTGTTGCCGACCAGGCAAGAGCGATGCTTTACCTTGAGCGACGGCGCCAGCCAGCAGGAGTTGGCACCCGCAGCAGGGCCCAAGACAAGGCCGAGGTAGACCAGCATGCTCACGATTTGAACCAGCGCAAAAAACGGGACCCTGCCCGCTAGCGCCTGTCGCACCGTAGCCACCACATCGGAAGAGAACTGCACGTGCAACGGAGCCAGCATGCATTTGGTCAGCTTTAACGAGAGCGTGGCAATGGCTTCCGCGATCTGCGTCACATTCGCAACAAACCTCAAGGCTTGCAACTGTTTGGCGACGCAGCCGATGTCGCGGGCGCACGCACGGGTCAAGCCCACTCGCGCACCTTCTAGTCGAACTTGAAGATCCAATAAGAAATGGGCCGCGGCAGCGGCATATATCGATCCGCTATGGGAACACCCCTGGATGACGCCCGAGGACATCCTCCAACCGCAGGTCGGCATACCGTTGGACATGACTATGGCACCTAAGATGTGGAAGAGCTGCTCCAGAATGGCCATGAAGGCGAAGGGGGCCTCCATTTGCCTAGAGACCATCAGCATGAACGACTGGGCGAGGCTCGGGAAGGCTGCGCCAAAGCCCAGCGCGACGAGGGCAGGCAAGTCACGTCCTGCCGCGGGCAAGTTCGAGTAGGTGCGCGAGACCACGTGGAGCTCCAGAACCTGCACTTCAAAGTTGCAGTTAGGACTGGCTGCAGGCACGCTGGGAGCGAGGCGCCCAGTCCATTAGCAGCTTGCTGACATGACTGTTAATGGTGGCAGTGATGAGATTTATGTCCGCGTGGCGTAGCCCTAGCACGCGAACTGCACTGGGGGCGCGAGCGCAACCTGCCGCCATCGAATCCTCCACCTCCTCACCCTTCGGGGGCCAGACCTGCAGCGTGTCGTTCGAGCTCTCGAGCAGCGACTGACCGCTCATGATCAACACCATCGCGTCAGATAGCACATTGGCGCCCGCGGGCGTGGCCGCCCGCGCAGAGTGCGGGATGGAGACCAAGCCTGGTGCTGAGCAGCGGATCTTCTGAGCGACACGTCGCAGCAACGCGGGTGGCGGCGGCGCAACCTCAGTGATTTCCAGGACGGGGACGTGCTGCTCCATGTAGGATTGCGCGAGCTGAAGGACGATCGGCGCCCAGGTGTCAATCCGCCGCTCAGTCATGATGGACGAATTCGCTGGAGACACTGGTTGGACCAGCGGAACGCTCGACAGCGCGCAACACCAGCCGACGATTGAGAGGCGACCATATAGCCGAACGGCGCTCGACAGCAGCAAGTTGGCGCTGGAGGGCCTGAGGGGCGCGCGGCCGCACGAGACGATCTTCAAGACGCGCTCGTAGCCCATCAGCGTCACGACATTGCATGCTGCAACACCAGTGCTGAAATTACGCAGCGCGGCGAAGAGTAACCTATTTGCCGCGGATCTCCAAGAGGACGCGAGCGGCGGCACGATTGCTGAGCAGCTTTGAGAGCTTGATGTCATACCTCCAAACAGCGCGAGACATTTGCCGAGCGACAAGTAGAAGCGCAGCGTTCGATTCAGGAGCACGTTGAAATTGACGATCACAAAAATCAGCAGCCACTTATCGCATCGCCCACTTGTGGAGCTTAATCTGTCTCGGGGGACTCCTGTGAACATAATTCAGCCGCTGGCGAACAAGCGTGAGTTGTTGCTGGTAAGCCTCAGACTCGAATAGATGGCGCGGAATGCGATGCGAGCAAGAAGGCGTTGCAATTCTCAGGGCAAGGCGAACAAGGCGCGTGGCACTGTCGCCGACAGGTCGATCTGCAAGCTCTCCAGGACATCAAATTGCCGCAGGATCCGAAGTAAGTTGCGCCAACACCCAACCAGGCCAGCTGATCAACATTCTGCTTAAGATAGACACCGAACGACAGCGCCTCTCGCACAGCGCGGGCTCGCCCGAGGAGACCTCCGCGAGAAGTCGTAAAGCGTGAGCCCAGCGGGCCGCGCACGCATGCTGGCCTTTACCCTCAGCAGGAGGACGATGAAGCTGGCGAAGAGGGGGGGGGGGGGCTCAGGAGCGCAATGCATATCGCCGCGGGCTACCACCGCGTTGCGAAGCGGATCCGCCGGCACCATCTGCATGTCAACTGCCAAAACTTCCGAAACCGAAATGAGCCGTGCGATGGCGAGGTCATGATTGCGCACACGAACGTGGAAAATGCGGAAGCCCTCTAGTTGCAGCACTACTCGCAGCACTCGACCATAAACCATAGACCGATGAGAAACCTGAGCGCGACAACCCGCAGGACGAACGGTTGCTACTTCACATTGAACTGCAGACCCCATCGCAGTAGCTGGCGACGAGACGCGCGGCAAGAGCTGCCTCGGAGACAAAGTCCGCAAACTGCCTCTCGTCCTGGTGCACCCTCTGGAGGGCAACAACACCACGGGTGAAGTCCAGGCGTTTGCGGTAGGCTAACTTCGGCTTCGCGCGTGCACCTCGGCACAGCAGCAGCGCCCTGGCGTTCCACGACGCGAAAGAGAGGGTAGGCGTGCCAGGCAGGCGTCCATGCATAGCAGTCGCGGAGCCGTTAAAGGCTTCACTCGGCGGCCTCAGGAGGCGCAGCGATAGACTTGACAGTGGCAGCCAGACGTTCTTCAGGAAGGCCAAAAGTCTGAACGATGTTGTCAGCCCACGCGATCTCCAAAGCGATGTCCCCAGGGTTGGGCGAAAGACGGAGCTCTGGATCCCATTCTGCCATGATGCACCCGCGGTCGCGATCAAACAACCGTCTCTCGACGCCGGCGATCTCGCGGAAGGCCTCGCGGAGCTTGCGGCCCTGGACCTCGAGCTTGACCTGCCTCGGTTTCTTGTCCGAACCGATGTGGGGCTTGGCCTGCTGGTCGTCGGTAGCTTTAACTTCGAAGCGCTTCCATTGGCCAGGGGCGATACGCTGGGCTCCAAGGATCTGAATGACGCGGCGGGCAGCAGGG